GCGGGTGCCCGCAGGTGGTACCGGGGAGAACACCGCGCCGGAGCGTCTCTGTCCCGAAGCCCCCTCTCCGCGCTATCACCCCGTGCTTCTCCGGCCTCCCCGCGGGACCACCCGCGCCACAGAACGGCCGTGAGGTCTCCCTGCTGTCTGGAAGCACAGAGGCCACGCATCATGTGCGAAGCCGGCCTGAGAGAGAGCAGCGGCACTGAATGACGGCCTCCTGCTTTGGAGGAAACACGGAGCCCGGCCCAGACGGTCCGCATCGCCCACTGCCCGGCTCCGAGGGCCTAGCGTGAGCCCCGGTGCCGGCCGTGCTCCTGGCTCGGGCCTCACTGCCCACGGGGCGGGCGAGCAGGTGGCAGTGTGAGGCGGCAGTCAGTCCTCACAAGTGATGCTGTTCTTGCTGAGAGAATCCCTCGGGACAGGACTGCTCCTTCTGTCCTCAGCGGAGTGGACGGGTCCAGCGAGACTAGGTGGGCTCAGCACTGAGCTTGGCCCCTTGTCCTGCAGCGGCGGGGTCACCAGGCGCCAGAGCCCTGTGTGGATGTGTTTGGTGCTCCCGGGTGAGCACCAGCCCGGCGCCTCCCTCCCAGGCCCAGGGCTCAGACCAGCATCTCAGCAATGCTGCCACATACTGCCTGGGTTGCAGGAGCTACGGAAATGGCCAATAGTGCAAACCCGTGTGAACCAACACTCAGGATACACAGCTGCTGTGTCACCTCGTCACAGTCCATAGTTTATGTGTCCACTTCAAGATTCTTCTACGTAACACATTTGTGAATCATGATAAGGCCAAATATATCACATTTTCCTTTTCCGTACTATACTTTCATTGTCAAAATGTGACAGGATGAGAGCTCTTTAGCCCTGACGCCAAGGACTTTCCTCCCAGGGTGTGAATGTGTCCCTCAAGCTTCATGTGCTGGAAACAACCCCCAATTCCCACATGGAATCCGGGTCATGAGGGTTCCACCCTCACCAGTGGGTCACCCCTCTCGGGCCACGGGTCACATCCCTCCAGGCCTGCCTGCACTTCTCACCTTGAGATGCCCTCTGCCATGTTCCGATGCAGCAGGAGGCCCCCACCGATGCCAAGTGGAGGCCAGCACCGCATTCTGGGACTTTCTGGAGCCTCCAGAACTGGGAGCCAAATAAACCTCTATTCTTTTTCAGTTACCTGGTCTTGAGTATTTCGTTACAGCAACAGAGAGTTAAGACAACGCTTTCAGTCCCTTCCTGGTGTGACAAGCCAGGCTCTCTTCCCAGCGCAGGCTGGGTGAGAAGCACTGTCAGAGCAGTGAGTAACCAGCTGGGCAGGGACTGCGGTCTCCAGGCCGCAAGACACTCTCCACTCAGCCTGAGCCTGCCGCTCTTCGCCCAGGCTGGCTCTGTAACCCACCACTGCTCACACACCCAGCTGTGGGTTTATGGTCAAAGCCTTTCCAGCACAGGACAGCCCCTCACCCCCTGAAGGATGCTCATGGTTTGGGGTTTTTTTGTTGGTTTTATTTGGGGGGGGGTTAAGACAGGGTCTCACTCTGTAGTTGAGACTGACCTGGAACTCACCACGTAGCCCAGGCTGGTCTTGAATTCACAACAATCTTCCTGCCTCAGCCTCCTGAGTGCTGGGATTACAGGCGTGCGCCACATCGGCCGGCCTGCAGGGTGCTCATCTTGAGACCACGCCACTGGCCCACCAGCTCACTGACCTGCTCACAGGAGCACTGCAAACAGGCCCCAGGTCCGCCAGGCCCAGAGTGGACCTGACTGCTTCAGTGCGACCTCCTTTAGAGCTGCCGCCCCTCCGGCCACACCTCCCATCTTCGGAGAGGCCCTGGTGCAGAGTCCAGCTCCCGGCTGCCCTCTGCATGGACATCCTGGCCCAGCCCAGCGTCACCTCCGGGTCTCTGCACCATGCAGCGGAGTTTGCCAGATCCTCACTTCACACCATGCTTACGGACAGTGATGGCTCAATCCCAGTCAGAATTTGCAAGGGGACAGCAGCATGAAACACCCTGCAAGCCAACAACCACTTTCTGCCCCAACTAAATTGGGAATCTTCCAAAATGTCTGAAGCATCCACACCAGGAAGAAGCTAATCTAAGAAATAAATGTTTACTGTGCTTTTTTCTAAGCTAACCTCATCTGCACCAAAGTCCTTCTAATTGCTAAAAACATACTCATCCTAGTATTTAGCAATGTGCATTGTTTTTTAATTAAGTAAGCTTAGGAAATGGATAGGTAAGTGGAAATTTACAATGGGTTTTAAAGTACCTGAAAAATTCCATGAAAGAGAATCCGTATCCATGCTGCTCTGCGATCCCTGCACAAACAACGTTTGCAGATGCTCCAATCAGAGTCCCATTACCTACAATCAGAATTTTAAAATAAGATAAAATCCCAGCATGTCTTGGTGGCAGCCTTCTGCCCCCTTTGTTCTGTAATATCTGGATCATCTCGCAGGCTTTGATTTGATGATTACTTTACAGGCACCGAAGATATTTGCTTTGCAAATATCTGGAAACATATAGACACTGGCAAGCAGAAGATAAATTCTCTGTCTGTAAATACCATGATTTCTTCATGAATAAGACTACAGCTGCCCTACATGACAGGAAGGAGACGCTAAGGAGAAAGGGTTCGGTACTGTGGAATCGGGCGGCAGGTGTATTTCACAGGACAATTCAAGCAGAGCCAGAGGTGAGAGCAAGAATCCTTTGCAGCGATGGAATGGAATCCCAGCCCTGAACTAGCTTCCGCAGGATCCCTGGCCCAGGTGTCCACCTGGACACACTCTCGATGAGTAAGAGCAGAAACAGCCAATCAGGTGAAGCCACTGCGCCATTCCACATGGTCACCAAAGACCACCTCCTTCACAGAACATGTCGCCACGAGTAAGCACTGTGACCCTGCATCTGCGTGGGAGACTCCCTGTCCTCACATGAACGTACCCCACTCCCCCACGGCCAGAAGGGACAGTGCTAGTCCTGCCCCTCCCCCCACACTCGCGTGCAGCGCTGGGCTCGGGGAAGGGCGGATTTGCAGGGCCTCCTCTCACCCTCCACGCCACTTTCACTGGTCACTCTGGTAGTGGCCAGCGTTTGAGGGTGAGCACCTGACCCAGGACTGGCCAACTTAGCCCATTTCTGACATCTGCATAAACAGTACGGGAACAGTGCTCTCCGAGGCAGCGTACAGGAAAGTAAGGAGAACTGGCGCAGAAACCTGTTTATTGGGAAGAAAAGAATCGATGTAAGAAGGCTTCCAAACAGCCCTGCCCTGTGCCTCCACGTCAGAAAAATGAGCCCAAAAAGCTGGTGTGCTGCCAACACGGGCACAACGGAAGGAGGCCAGAGGGAGGAGAGTGGGGGGGGGGCAGGTCCCAGGCAGACGTGTTGGAAATACAGGAAACCAGCTGGTCCCACAGAAAGAATGCCAGACATGGACTCAGAGGGCTTCAAAGTTCCTAATTTTCTCAGGGTCGTGACTTGAACAAACCGCCCATCTTCAGCAGGGAAGACACGGAAGGAGTCGGCAGCATCACGCCCACCAAGGACAGGCGCCTCCTCCCCGGCCGCTCACAGGTGCTGGTGGCATCTACACAGGTTGAGAAGATGACTGCACCTTTCCGATGTCAGCGGCTGCTGTGGTACAGAGGCCCCCTGACTCACACTGGGGTCGTGACCCAGTGACCTACTGCAAGGTGAAAACATTCTAGTGTAAACTGGACTGAATGTGCCCACCTGTGGGCCATCCTAGCATGGCAACACTGTACACTGTGGGCATCCGCTCTTTCTGCTTAGGATCCTGAGCTTGACTGAGGCTGCGGGGG